TTTTTTCCTCAGAATTCTGTGATATAAACTCACAATTGCGAGATATAAAGTCAGAATTGCAAGATATAAACTCGCAATTCAGATTTTTTTTCCACAGAATTGCGTGATGTAAACTCACAACTCAAGTTATAAAGTCAGAATTGCAAGATATAAAGTCAGAATTGCGTGATATAAACTCACAACTCGAGTTATAAAGTCAGAATTGCGAGATATAAAGTCACAATTGCGAGATAAAAACTTGCAATTGCGAGTTACAGTCCAATTTTGGGGGGGGGTGGGGACTAATATGGGCTCAGAATTGCAGAATTAAATTTTTGCTGATGATATTCCTTTGTTTTATGCCTGTGGTAATTATAAGTGAACCATCACGTCATCATTGTGTATCAAACAGTGCCACCTTGAGGAAAAAAGATGCATTGCACAAATTGAGTCATCAGATATGTAAATATAGTCACGCAGGAAAAAAAAACGTACACATTTACATACCTCGGGTCTGTTGCGACCCTATATACTTTTTTACAAAAAATTTATCAGAAAACAGGCATTCTTTTATATTTTACTATTTTTTTCTTGTTATATTGTTTATAATGAATAGATTGAGGAATACTAAGAAAGTTGATGTCTAACTTTAAAAAATGAAGGAGGGAGAGGGTAGAGAATGATGTCCCGGATCGCTAAAGACCCGAGGTATGCATTTAAGGGTTAAAAAAAAAATATTGTGACTTTTTATCTTGCAATTCTGACTTTTTTCCTTAATTCTGAGTTTATATCTCACAGTTGTTATAAGCTTGTGATTTTAAGTTAACATTTCACAATTCAGAGACGAAAAGTAGCACTCTGTGCTACTTTCAATAAATTCCTTTTGCAGTAACCTGCTGGTCAAACATCTGCCTTTTTATGCTGCACTTAGTAATTGAGTCTCAGGTTTGGTCAGAAATCAACTTCAGAAGTTGACTCAGTGTGTTTTTCACCAGGTCAAAATGTGTCCTCTCACACTGGGCCGCTCTAGTCCCAATTGTTTGTGTTGTTACGATGGCTCGGGAAAGTAAACAGCAGAATTGTGATACAGAATAGGGACAGATGCAGAATTGAACCAAACAGACTTTACTCATACTGCAGTCGCTGAGAGTTCAATTGCACAGCCGAGGGGTTCGCCGGACCACAAATTGCTTCTGTCGTATCCACTTCTTCAGTTTGATTGCTCTTAATTGCTTCGCTTTCAACTTTCTTTTCTTCAAAAGGCAGTTTTCCTTTTACAGACCCATTTTTGTGGTCTTGATCACGTTTCTAAAAAAATAACAGCATACAGTTTAAGAAATAGTTGAAAATTCTGTCATCATTTACTCACTATTAACTTCTCATTAGATTGGAAGATGATAAGTAAATAGGACTGGTAACTGTATGCAATAACAATAACTCCTCTAAATTGGTCTGTTTGACACACAAAGTTATCATATGTGTTTTTTCTACAGTGTTTTATCCTTCTCCGTATCACTTATAGGAAGAACTCATGTCATTACCTTCCCTATTTTCAATTCCAAGCCACTAAAAAGCCACTAGTTTTGGTATAAAAGGCATAAAGCATTTTCTACCAGCAGTGCTTTGGATGCACACTTGCTTCAGCTCAGGGATATGTGAAATGAGAGGGGGATCATGACTCAAAGGCTCAGCCCAGTGCATGATTATGGGTCGCAGAGGGACACAAGCCGCCCTGAGGGTCCGGGGTGAGTCATGTGGCCTGGAGATAAGAGTGTGACCTTGATATGGTTCCTCGGCTCAAACGGCAGCATTTTTATGTTTGTGTTTATGTGTGGGGACTGAAAGACACAACAGGGATAAAGTGTGATGGAAATGGAAGACAGCAAAGTCCACTGGCTTTCCGTGACGAGCTTAGCACTGTATGGAGGCAGAAGAAAACTAGCAACGAAGAGCAGACTGTCTAAAAATGTAGTGCATTGTGGTGTCTGAGAAACAAATCTTCAGTTTTGGAATCAATACCAAACTTCTTTATTGTTAATTTTACTGTTTCGCCAAAATAAATAAGCTCATATTTTTAAAGAAGCTTTTGTCATTTGTATTAATATCTGTATTAATAATGACTCGCATGTTGAACTGAACAAACAACATGACTCCCTTCGTTCAGTCATTTAATTCACAAACAAGATGTCCTAGTTTGTTTGGTGTGTTCATAAACAAAATGTATTCGAGTATACCCAAAACTGACTAGTTCAGTGAAAGGGCATCTTCGTTCATTCGGACAAACCAATGATTTGCTAATTCTTAGCCTGCACAAATGCTATTAGTTTGCACCAAAACACAAGACAGTGGTTTCATTAAACAAAAAGTCAAGAACGACAATGATTCATTCATCTAAATATTCAATTAACCAAAACACCACCATCATCTTGAAGACTCGAATCTGAACTGCACTGCTACGGCTAAACTAGCTTGTTTACACGGTATGCTTTGCTAATGTCATTTTTACACACGCATTTAATAAATTGGGATTCACATCTCATTTTTATCCTTCTTGAACGAGACTGACTCACATGTTGAACTGAATGAACAACATGACCCCTTTCGCTCAGACATTTAATTCACAAACAAGTGCTGATTCGTTCTGTGAAAGGCTATATTTCTTCATTCGGATGAACCAATGATTCTTAGCCTGCATAAATACTAGTTGTTTGCACCAAACACAAGAGAGTGACTTCAGTAAACAAAAAGTCAAGAATGACAATGATTCATTAACTTAAATATTTATTCACAACGGAAACACTACCATCATATTGAAGATTCAGATCTGAAAAGCACTGCTATGGCTAAGCCAGCTTGTTTACATGGTGTGCTTTGCTAATGACAAATGGGAATAGATTCCCTAGCCTATAAAAAAAAACAAAAAAACAACAACAACCTTTACATGCTCACTGTGTCAGAAAGTCAGCAAAAAGTGTAAGCTCAAAACTACAGCTCAGTTTTATACTTTTTCATTTCATGTTTTGCTAATGCAGCACACATAGTGTCAGACACATGAAAATGAGACCTACTTCTACCCTTTGAACAGAGAAGGTCCTTGCCTCCATTTTTGAATGCATACACGCTTAGCATGAATTTCTGGGTATGTGTACCCTTCACATTTGACTGTTTTTCTCCGAAGACCTGTTGAAAGCCTCAGTTCTTTGCCAGGAGCATCTGTTTGGTGGTGACTTCAGAGGCCTAGGCTGCGTGAGAGAGATTGGCCTGAGGTACAGTGAATGCTTGTCTTGCTTTAGTGTGTCTATGTGTGTGTGAGCAGGTAAAATCCCACCTTCTTCTTGCTTATCCTCGGATTAAAGCATCTCGGCTCCATGGTGCTGCCTGTCAGAGAGGGCGGCATGTGGAATCAAATCTGTCGGCCTTCAAAATGAAATCCCAGAGCCGGCTGGCCCAAATGTTTCCTGAGCACGCCATATCTGAGCGTACGCTTCCATTCCCCTTGACAAGACACCGCAGGCTACTGTGAATCTACGTTAGATTTTCTCCCTGCCGCTCACACTGGGCCTGTCATTTTTTCTGTTAGACATCTCTCCAAGATGTCAGTATCCTTTTGTCCAGTTTTTGTAAAACATACTGTACAAGTTTGGTAGGATGGGGCTGAAATAGAACAAGCAGGAACAAGGATGAAGATTTGAGTTTAATATCAACTCTTTTACGGTTTGTGCAGGTTTGTTTCCCATTTGAGTATATTAAATATTAGTGTTTACTGGGCATTTTTTAAGTATTGGTGCTTGTTAAGGTTACAGCGTGTAGTTAATACGACTATTTTAATAATAAAAATGTTGAAATCATCTGTCTACAGGAACATAACTTTCAGCAAAAAAGTATATATATATATATATATATATAAATTACATGTATAGATAAAAAATACATTATATTTTATATACACACACACACATAATTGTATTTGACATAAAACCCACAAGCATGTGTAGCCAATGATCTGGCCTAATCACAGCCGCTGATATAGAGCCGGTATCGCTCAAGTTATTGTGTTTATACAACAGTTCGACGGCACGAGTGTAAATATAAATATATATGTGTAAATAAATATATTTGAAAAACAACAACGGAGTGTCTTTAAAAACCCTTTTTTGCAGAACTACTTCCTTCCGCCACATATTCAAATCTCAGTTTGACAGTTTAACAGCTGAGCTGAAGCTTCCGTTACTAATTCGAAAACGTCACTTTAGAACTAGTAACGAAGGAACGTTGAGTTGCTTCATTAAAAACTTATTGTATTACTTTATTAAAAGCTCACTGTATTATGTAGAGTATTGTGAGAGAGAGAGATGGACTGAGCGAGTGTGATTACCTGCATCTGATACAGCATTCATTCTTCAGCTCAATCTCATATTCACAATAAAACATTAGTTTCAATGTCCGCTGAGGAAAGCATTATCTTTGTCGTACTGTCTTTCATCTGTTAAGGGTGATTTCCAATGACAGCGTTGATCAGTGCATTTTCTAACTGCGTCTTACAAGCTGTTATTAAAAGTAAAAATAACTTCCGTTTTAGTCTCTTTCAATATAAAAGTCTTAAATGCTGACTCATCCAAATGGATTATGTGAACAATGCAAAGTAGAAGAAACAGTAACCCATGCAATTCTTGAATGTAAGAAATATGAGGAAGAAAGACTTAATATGATAGTTGAAATCAAGAAGAATGGAATTCAGGTGGTACATTTTAAATCTTTAATAAAAGGGGCAAGTGAAATAAATAGTAAAGCTTTCTTTAATTTTCTTAAAAGGACGGGATTAATAAGTAGAATGTAACTCTCTGTTCCACACTCCGGAGCAGAAGGTGGCAGTAATGCACCTAATTACGCTGGTTGCCAGCCGCCGTTAAAAGCCAAGAAGAAGAAGAAGACCTACAATAGTTGTCAGATTTTCTTGCTAATTTACATTTATGAATAATATTGACAAACTGTTTTGGAGATTGCAGTCTTTTCCCATTTAAGCAGAAAGAAACTCATATGCCTGGTACCTACATAGTAAATAGCAGCTTGCAGGTGTTTCCAAGATGGCCGTCAAGAGAACAGAATTGCCTTTGACTTGGGCCTTTGGTTTTACACAAATACTTGAAAATCAACGGCATCAGCTACTTAATTGTCATTTTGGGATTATTATATTGGCTCATTAAGGACATACATTATGAACATGTAAGTACTCAGCATGGTTTCATTGTATTTTCTCAGCGCATTTAGAAAACTTGAGGAGATCCAACTTTCTACCGCCAAAGAAGATTTCCAGTCAGAGAATTTGATGGTATTTGCTAGCATTTTTATGGATATTTGCTTGTTTGAATCAGGGTTTCAGTCTGGCAGAGAGTTCCTTTGGTCTGGTTGCTCTCCGGTTGTCCTTTCTAGCATGCCAGCTAATTAGCATTTTGTGGTATAAATAGCTTCCCCGGCCTATTGAGAAGCATCTTGTGCCCAGTGACTTACTGAGGTCAGGTTGTGGGATTCTTACCGCTCAATAAACTGTGAAGTTATGAACAAAATTTCATGTATGAGAGTTTTGCTGTCTTTCCTTGATCAAAAAGATTGGTCATTCTGTATTAGGTAATGTGACCCAAAGGATGCTTCAATGTTAACAAGGACTTTATCTTAAGTTTTGACTTAGAAGCTACTTTTTTCCTCAAGACTTAGGGTACGTTCACAGGAAACAATGTACTACAAAATGAAAAAGTTTTCTTTTGTGTTTTTGAAAAGTTTAGCATACAGATGACAAAAATTATCCCCTAGAATGCTGTATTATACATGCCAGGCCAGTTTTTGGCAATGTCACTTTGTAAAGAAACTCACACATGTCTATAGACTGAACACGTAACATTCATGCACATGCGCACCGTTTTCACAAATTCACATTCTGATTGTTTACATGGAGATGAAAACGGTATCATTTTCAAAAACTTGCACTTTGAAACCCGTTTTCAAAAGTTTCGAACTTTCTATTCATCAAAGAATCCTGCAATACAATGTATCAGTTTTCACAAAAATATTAGGCGGCATGACAGTTTTCAACATAGATAAATGTTTCTTGAGCAGCATATTAAAATGATTTCTGATGAATCATGTGACTGGAGTGGCTGCTGAAAATTCAGCTTTGCTGCAGGAGTAAATTTCGCTTTAAATGTATATAAAACATTTTAAATTATAATAATATTTCACAAATTTGCTGTTTTTACTCTATTCCGATCAAATATATTTACCCATTATGATATGTGACTTTTTTCAAAAACATTGTGATTTCTCATAATGAAGACAGAGATGTAGCATTAGCATAGTACTTGCGGAGATACTGATTAATTTAGCACAAATTGAGGCTTAGCTATTTGTTTACTGTTCTGATTTATTGTAAGCTTTCATTTAGATGTTGTTTGCATCAGTATGTGTTTACTTCATAATTGACCGCTTACTCAGGTGGGTGGTATGTTAAATCGCTAATCAGCCGTTAATTACCGTTGTCTGGCGTTCTTGCTGACTCGCAGAGTAAACGCCGACAACGGGCTTAAACTTTAAAAACAGCTGCTGTGTTTGACAGCACAGGACATGGGAAGCTAAACTGAGACTGATAAGGGCTGGAGAATTAGCTGTACGGAGACACTCAGACGGCTGACAGTACTGATACGTGGGTTTCGTTTGATGAGTGTGTGTTTGCGTTGCTGCGTTTGTGTGCGGTTTCACTGTAAAGCTGTGTTTGCCGTTACTGTTGACAATGGGACAATGAACTTGACAGTTTGTGGTATCAGTTCTCATTGTTACTTTCTTTGTCAGACTTTGTGGGAAAACCAAAAGTGTAGAGGATTTTTTCACGTTTAATTTTTCATGAGCTCAGTTGCAGCTAACAGGTTTTGACCCACTAGCCACAAGCCAAAATGTTTTTGAACCAAAAACTGAAGAAATAGAGAAAGTTTACCTGAGAGAAAAAACAACATGCTGTTGTAAGGAAACATCACTCTAGTGTTTTGCCATGTTTGGAGCTCAAAATATCTATGTTCTAATTTTTATAGTATAAATATACAAATAATACATATTGTGGTTTAAACTACTTCCACATTTTGCGGTTTTCAGACAAGTGAAAACTGACTTATTGACTTCTGACCATTTTTGATCATTGTACATTTCTGAAGTAAGCCACTTCAGTGACATCTGCATCTGTTTCAGTCTGAAGCTGATTCCATATTCATTATTATTAAATGCAGGATATGACTCTTCCAAAGCTTTTTTCAGATGTGCGATTTATTCTTAACTTCTTAGAGGATGTGACTGTTTTCCTTGATAATGAAATATGCATGAGCTCTCTTGGGTTCACCTAGATGCTCTGTACCTTTTCCCTCTCCCCGAATCGTCTTTGTTTTCAACGTCGATTTTGTGCCAAATTTAGAGCTTAGTTTGCTCTCTTTTATTCTTCCCTGCTATAATGTAATCTCTTTATCTAAAAGACAAGGTTCACCGGGTCATTTCATTTCATTTCAAGATATTTCTAATTCACCACATTTTCATATCTGTAACACAACCAAGCAGTGGAAACAGTGTTGCTAAAGAATGACAAGAACAGCTTTATTCTTTCTTCACTTTGTAGTAAAAACAGCAAGGAATCTTCATCTTGTCATTTGCCCATGAATTTAATGTAAATCCTGCAGTGTTATTTTAGTGTTATTTATATACTCTTATAGTAGGCTTTTTAATTCCTTTTATTTTATTTTAATTCGCTTTTATTTTTACATTTTCAGTTTTCATTTTAATTTTAGTTTAGGTTTTAGTAATTTTGGTATGTGTTTTTGTCATTTTATTTTATTTATTTTCTGTGTATGTGTGTGTGTGTTTAGTAATATCAATTCATTTTATTTCAAGCCAACATTTCTAATTTTCTTTTAGATTTTCTAAGCTTACGATTTTCCAACTAATATTTAGATTTTTTCAGTTTTCATTTTAATTTTAGTTTAGGTTTTAGTAATTTTGGTATATGTTTTTGTCATTTGATTTATTATTTTTTAAAGCAATATTAATACTTCAACATTTCTAATTTTCATTTTATTTTTTTAAGCTTACGTTTTTCCATGTAATATTTAGATTTTATTTCAGTTCAATTGATGAAAATGATTTAAGGTTTGTATTTGCTTACAGTATACACACACGCATGCACACATACATACATACATACATGCATACACACACACACATATTATATATAAATAATATTGATTATCATATTATAATGCTTGACTGACTTATATGACTGATGTTAAGTTAAAATATCTTTCAGATATTTATATAACTGCCATTTCATACATACATACACACACACACATATTATATATATATATATATATATATATATATATATTAGTATACACAGATGTATTATATCATATATTTATTTATATATTATTTTTATATATATTAACATTTTATATGTTAATATGCACATTTTGTATACAATTTAATATAAATATAAAATTAATTCTATAATAATAAAAAATTATATTGTATTGGCTCACCCAGTGGTATAACCTTGGGGTGGCAACCAATGGTTGTGTGTTTTGGGGAAAACTGTTTCATTCAAAACCTTAGTTATTTTTGTGTTTCCATTTGGTATTGTTTGTGGTGCAGAAATTACACTTCGTTTGTGCAAGTAGATGGATGAGAACTACCAAGTAGCCTGTTTATGGTGGTGTTGACTCTTTTCCATTCCTTAAGTAGCTGCCCAAGTGGAACACAATGTCAGCCCTATTCCGTTGTGTCTCCACCCGAGTGCCCTGTGTCTCCTGAGGCCTCTAAACAAAACAAACTATGCCCACACATCTTTGCAACAAACATGTGTGTCAATTCTCATAGTCCCTTCCCAGCCTAGAGTGAACGTAATTGGCTATATGGTGCAGTGTTCTTCTACTATGATTTATCAGGGCTCTGTGGCACTCTACACCCTCAAGGTTGAATTTGCTCGCCGAACAAAGTCAGACAAGAAGGGAAGGCTGTGTGCCATCTCCAAAACTGGTAAACTAAACAAAAACATAACCCAGATGATATAACCTGGAGAGAAGAATAAAGGTGTAGAGATTCTTGTGGCTTCAGTAGCATGTACAAGCCAAGTTTGTTTGAGACAAGCCGCAATTGACCGTACACACTGGCTATGTCAAACTTTTAAGACATTAGGATGTACGAGCTTTCAGCAGTCAAGCACTAAGTGAGATCCTATTGTAACATTCATATGTCAAAGTGCTACACTTGTCCTCCATCTGATGGGAGAAAAAAAAAAGTCTTGTCACTTTAAATGATATTTATGTGTCACCCTCACAGGGACACCACATGAATCTTTCAGAACAGGCTAGAAGTGAACTCTGTGATCTGCTTTTAACAACGGATCTGTAGAGCAAATCTCGCATCTAGATGCGTTTGATTATTGTTTGAAGGGCTTTTGAGGCTTCTGTACTGTTAGGATATGGAGAACATATCCTTAACTGAACTGGAGTTTTTTTGGACAAATCCCCCTTGTACGTTTTTTTAGAAGCATTAGGCAAATGTGAAAATTTTTACAATTCATTGATCTTAATATGAAGCTGTTTTGGAGAACTGATGCATAAGCTCATTTTTAAGTTCCTTTTAGGGTAATTAGCTTCAGGAAACCTACAAACTACAGGAATTAAGTGCCATTGTAAACAAAAGTAACCTTTTTGCCTTATAGATAAATAATTTAGCACAAAATATTTTAGTAAACTTTTTTTTCTGTCCTTTGATAGTGTAAATGTATGATTTGATGCTAAAGTTGTTAATGATGTCATGCATAGTTGGTGGAGTAATAATTTCTGTGAATTAATCGATTCTATATTGCGGTTGACAGATGCCACATTCAACTGCTCCAGACATGTAGACGCATCCGCCATCTTGGAATGATCATAGTTATACGTATGTATGAACATCTACTATATATATATATCTGTGATAGATTCAGCAGATGATTTTGCTAAACTAACACATTATAACAAGACAAAGACTTTAGCTAACATGACATTAAAAAGTTACCGTAGTACAAAAACCTGTAATATTGGGTTGGTAAAACACAAACCATCACATTCTCACCTGTGAAAGGTTATCCCACTATGTCGGGAGTTTAAATCTTGGCGTTTTTCACGAACTGAGGCTGCACAATTTTTTGGCATCTTGGAAAACTCATTTATTTTTACTGTGAGTGACGACACATTGAGTGTTCCAAGATGACACTAATAAGGCATCTATATATATATATATATATATGTATGTGCGGTTGCTTGTGTTATGAATGGTTATCTGCACGTTGCTTTGCTGAGTGATTGCTAGTATGCTGCTGTGTAGTTGCTACAATTGTCCATTAAGCAAACTTTTTCTTTTTAAGAAAATTAATTGCACAGCTCTCCTGAACAAGCTTCACTGCATTTGAAGTATCATTTCTGTTTGTAGTACGATCTATTTTACAATACGCTTTAAAAGCATTAAATACAGTACAAGGCCTCTGGGATTTGCGCACTGGGATGTTGTAAAACAATGTTTGAGTTCTTCGCTCTGCGTTTGTTTATCATAGAAGAGCAAAATTATGTACTGTAAGTGGGCAGCTATGCTTCTTTCTGAAGTCTTGTTTATGCCACAACCTTTTTTTTCCTCCATTGGTACAACTTAAACTTTGACTCCCGGGGCTCGTTTTATGTCTGAGCCACCAATCTTCCGTCTATATCTCTCAGCATCGCACGCTGATGTTTTTCGGTCTCTCACGGCCCGCGGCGCAGCCACTCTGAGCGTCTGTCCGGTGATATTGTCCTCCCAATCTGTCACTTCATTTCAGATGAATCGGCCGTGCTCGATTTGCCGAGCTTGTGCCACTGCATTCACGCAGAGGTCGCAAACGTTTTGACCGTGCTGAGCCGGCGCGCCCAGGGTCGTGCGAACGGCGCTTGCATAATTCCCGCATAACCATTTGGACCTTAATGTAGTCTGTTACACTCCAATTATATTACAGATGGAGCAATGATGCAGATTTCCACCCCCACCTTTTCAGCCACTGGCCAGTGGATGACAGAAATAACAAATGGACCTTCTCAGTCTATGTAGGAGCTTTTCCCTCGGAGGGAACGGAGAGATAACAGCTTTTTCGATGGGAAGTGCTATGGCCTGCTACAAACACCCCTCAGGAAATGGGGAAATCTACTGCATCTGTTTAAAAAGTGCATCGACTTCACACAAGCCCCCGAATAGAGGATAAATTCCCCTCAAAAACGGTTTGGGAAATTACACTTGTGAATTGCTGTTGAGTTAAAGCTAAATTATAATAAAAGACCTAGGAAATGGATGCTAATATCTTCATTCCAATATCTATATTACCCAAATGTATTCCACTTTGTTAACTCAAACTTCATTAACTCAAATGGTTTTGCTTTTTATGAAGGGAGATGGATGTTATAAGGTGTTCTTTCAGCCTAATGATTAAGTAGTTGCGTTGTTCAACACAAAGGCCTCTGGTTAGTCCTGAGCAAAGGCGTCCCTAGAGTTGGGAATTACTAAATCTACAATCCTGCCCTTGAGCAAGACACTGGCAGGATATTCCAGAGGGTCTGTCCCTACAATTAGTGTACTGCAAATTACTTTGCATGAAGAACATTTTTAAATATCAGCATTAGGAAGCAATTTAATATACTTATCTGGTGACCAAAGATGCTTTATGTGTCTTAAAGCACGATCTCTCATGGCACAGTTTCTCAATGCATGCCATACCCATCCCAGCAATCCCATAGGGAGCAGGAAGTTTGTGAGTGCCATGTAGTGAAAACTCCCATACTAACTCAGTTTTAACACAGAGATCTAGGTAATAGAAATTTGTATCTATTTTTTCATCGTGCAGTTAAGACAGTTGAGCACATTTCCAATCTTTTTCTCAATCTTTCCAGACTCCTTTCTCAATCTTTCCAGACTCATTTTCAATAAAAAAATTAAATGTTTAATTAATATATAATAAAAAAATAAGTATAAATCAGCATAAATAATATTCTGACAATTAAGGAACAAAATGTGGTTTATTGTCATGGAAAAGTTGTCATAATGTAAAAAAAAAAAAAAGCTTTCTGTGCACTATATATATATATATATATATATATATATATATCATTACTGTTATGTGGGGGAAAAAAAATCTCTAAAAAAACAAAAAATGTAACAATTTAAAAATATTATAAATCAGCATAAATTTAAATCTAACAGTTGGCAGACAAAATATGGTTTATTGTGATGGAAATAATGTCAGAATGAGGGAAAAAAACAAAACAAATAAAAAACCTTAACCATTTGTGTGCACGTATTTGTTGTGATGTTGTTGCTTAACCTACATTGCGTGTTTGGTCAGGTGACCTAATTAATATTAATAAGCAAATCCTTGAGGAGTTCATCAGCCCCGGGGAGACCTGAAGTGTCCTTGTGTACGACCTTAACACAAACAAACAAGTTGTCTATTTCAGTTTTGATATATTTCAGCTTCTCAGGACAGCGCGAGGAAAAATCTAACTGCATTTGTCAGCGAGCTCCAAAACCCTGTCTCAGAAAGTCCCATGCACTACTGCGGTTCAGCCTCACCACAATCTAGTTTTGTGAGATTTATATTATATGGCTGTATTTTACCACACATCTCTCAGTGTATGTGCAGCCACCCTGAGAATAAGTAAAGCTGACAGTGGCTTGGCGTTGCGAGGGACTGCAGAATGTGGAATGCTACCTCAGAGAAGGCTCAGTTCACTGAACTTTCCATTAGGGTCAGAGCTGGTGTAAAATTGCCCCTGCTCACAGAGAGTATATTGTGCCCCAGTCTTTACTCTGCTGTGATGTGATGGATTCTGGACATCTGGACCATGTCAGTATTGTCATAAAGCCCTTAAATAACTTTACAAACAATGTTAAATGGCATTTATAACTTGTGTAATATGATGTACAGTATTTCAAAGTGAATCTGGATGATGAAAAGGGTGATGTTGAATTGTTGATTATATTACTGACTTGCCAGTTGCATCATTCTCCAGTCAAATATAGTTGTGTAATGACCACTAAACTGTATGCTTCATATCAATTTGCTTATTTATATGATGTTTAGATGTATTAATAATAATAATAATAATAATAATAATAATGTTTTTATATTTATGAAATATAAATTTGGGTTTTTATTATTTATTTACGAGCAGAATATTTTTCAGTAAATATTTCAGTAATGAAATAATGGAAATTTTGGGACGTTTTCATATGACTTCAGAATAGTTAGAATACTGACACTTTTATGCTTTTTTGTTAGAATGAAAGTCTTAGTCCTCACCTTTATGATATAAAAAATTGTGGTCAGGGCATCTATCAAAAATGCACCTTTTGTGTTTCACAAATAGTTATTCAAGTTTGGAGGGTGAGCCAGTGATTACCTTTTTTTTCATAACACTATCTCGGCCCTCTCTCTCTCTCTCTCTGTCGCCCTTCTATATTCCTGTGCCACCTAGAAATGCTGATGTGGATAATACTGATGAGAGCTGCGTGTCTCTGGCCTGTCAGCGTAGTTTTTGTGTAATTATATTAATGGGGTGTGACAGGAGCGTAACGTATCAGCACTCGGAGATGAGCAATCGCCCAGAGCCTGTTCGCGACGAGCTCGCGTCAGCACGACCTCTTTCATCTGCCACGCTCCACGTCTTGCTCCTCGGTGCTTGAACCGTGCAGCGATAGGGTCGAGAACGCTTTGGTTTTTATAAAGCAAAACATATGTAAGTGTGTGTCCATGTACATATTCTCCCTGTCTGTCTTGTTCCCTGTCTCTGTATTTATCCATCTTTTTTTTTTTTCGTCAGAAGACACACACAATTTTCTGCCTCAAGTGTTTAAGTAACACTGTGCTTTTCAGGTTGAAGCCTCACAGTAACGCCTCCCCATTTCTTCCCACACCTTACCGTTCCCTCAATATTGTATAAGGGCTGAAATAATAATAATATATATATATTTTTTTGCAGTAGCTTAGCTAGTGACACCCGCGTTCAGGCCTGAAGTGTGAGCTGAGTCTCTTATAGCCCTTGGTGCTTTATTGGCTGATTGGTTGACATTGACTCGGCTGTGAGGAAATCCGAGGCTCATCCAGAGCTGCAGCTGTCTGTAATTGATTATTTCTGGACTTACAAAGGGGCGAAAATGCTTCTAAAAACTCTGTTTGGGTTTCAAAGCAAGGATAGTTACTCGGTGTATTATTTATTCTAACTTTTAGTAGTCATTTGTTCATTTGAAAGATTATTTAATACAAATATTCACTTAGATGGCCTATACTTTGCTATACTTTTCCTATATTATACTTTGCCTCTACTTTTTTATGACCTATATAACAACAACAACAGTAACTATTATTAAAGTTTTTTATTTTATTTACACTAAACAAAGGGGTCAAGGTTTAGTTGGTTAGCATGGCCTTAATAGCCACTGCTGATAACTGCCATTTTTTTATCCATTGATAATCTTATAAAATTCTAATGCATTCAGACAATTTTGTGTATTAAATATTTGACTAGGTATAATACATATTTATTGTGTATTTATTTAATTGGTAGTATTTATTTATTTATTTATTTATAATTTAATATTATTATGAATAATGACGATGACAACAACAATATAATAATAATAATAATAATAATAATAATGATGTTGTTGATGTTAAGAGTAATTATTATTGTTGTTGTTGTTGTATTGTTGTCATTGTTAATATAATAATAATAATAATAATAATAATACTCAACATCAACAACATTATTATTATTATTAATAATAATAATAAATACTATTATTAAAATATTACTATTATTATTAGCATCAAAACAATGATACAAATTAATAAAAATTAAAAATAATAAAATAAAATTAATAATTACTCTTAACATCAACAACAACAATAACATTATTGTTGTTGTTATTATTAAATATTATTATTAAAAATATTACAATTATTAACATCAACAACAATAATAAACTTAAAAATAACACAATAAAACAACAACTCTTAAGGACAACAGCAAAAACAACAATACAATTATTGTTTATTATTATTATTATTATTGTTGTTGTTGTTGTTGTTAACAAACAACGATAATAATAATAATAATAATAATAATAATAATACTTTTATTATTATAATTATGGATGTTGTTATTGTTGTTGGTAATAAATCTACTAAATATCAGTACCTATTTAGTTGTATTTTGTTTTCTGATTTCACTGACTGGAAAGCCGGCTGATTGAATGACCGTATGTTTGCTTGCTCTAAAACATTTTTATTTATTTTTATTTTATTTTATTTACCTTTATTTAACCAGGAAATTAAAAACTCTTGAGATTTAAAATCTAATTTACGAGAGGGACCTGGCCACGATAGGCAGCACATTTAGTTACACATAAAACAAAATACATTCGTTTACATACACAGAAACATATACAAATCAAGCACATTTAAGCACATATATGGCTTTGAAATGCTTGCAGTGTTTTGCCTTACAGAATTTCCAGCAAGTTTATATTTAAGCTGTTTATGCCTGTTCCTCTATGGCTGTTGAGATCAGTGACTGCCTAGGGGCAGTGTGACAGTCAACCAGCTCAGCAAGTGAGCAATGCTATCACGCCTAGCCAAAATAACTGACTTTCATATATCTCTGTGTTCACCAGCTCTTTGCTACACCGCAAAAGTAAAAACACAAAAATTTCACATTTGTCTGGAGAGCCATGTAACTGCAACTTAAACATAAATGTAGTTGATTCAAAGACATTATTGTGACAGATGACTCTCTCTCTCTCTCTCTCTCTCTCTCTCTCTCTGTGTGTGTATATAAATTCTTCTAAATGTATTGTATCAAGCATCCTTTACAGGAGGAAGTTCTGCCCTCAGAAGAGCAAATAAGGCTTGTGATTGGCCAGCGTTGGCAAGATTGGGAAAAATTCCAGACAGTCTGAGAAAAATGTGACATATTCCAGATTAACAGATTAATTGGAGTTTTATACAGTCTGTGAGGCATTTACATTTTTTATATATGGCCTCTGTTTGGCACAGTGAACATTTTTCATTGATCTATTAGAATTTGAGAGCGGTGTAAATACGAGTGAAACTTTCAGAAATATACTGCCATCCTGCATGACGTGATGCCACAAAATTAGTTTAGAAAAGTTGAACAGCACTTCAACAGTAATTAAAAGAGCTTGTTGGCTGGG